ATATATATATACATACTTTTTTCCTCCTGTATCTTACACCAGCCAATTTATCCGTTCACCTACAATTCTGTTATCCTTTTCTCTTGAGTGGACTTATATAGTAATCATTGCTATCAGCTCCCTCTTTCCCCCAACCCTTCTTCCCATACCCCCAGGAAATCATTACTCCCATTACTATTTCTGAAGGCTTTATCTATCTTAGATGTCATGCATAGAACGGTCTTCATTATACAAATGAATATATGCAGGTCTAACAAGGTTAATTAGGTAAAACTAAGAAAAAAATGGTAAGGGGAAGAAATATAAAAGAACAAGAGGTTAGTTAAGTGTTTCATCAGTGCCACACTGCTCCCTGGGCATATCATCCCTTCCGTGTGTGCTTTTAGTGGAGGTCTATCCAATCGTCTTACAGTTGGGTTGTGGTCTCCACTTTGTGCTCCTTAATATCGATTTGATTGCTTATGTCTGAACTTATGATACCTATTTCCATCTACAACTCATGATCACACAGGCTGGTGTGCTTCTTCCATGTGGGCTTTGTTGCTTCGCTGCTAGAAGGCAGCTTGTTTAACTTCAAGCCTTTAAGACCCTAGATGCAATATATTTTAAAAGCCCGGCACCCTGAGCTTTCTTCACCACATTTGCTTATGCACCCATTTTGTCTTCAGAGATCCTGTTGGAAGGGTGAGTATCAAACATTGCCACATTATTAGTACAAACCATTCTTGAACTGAGGTAAGATTTAAGTTGAGGTCCAAAGTACACCTGCTTCCTAGTTGTACATATATATATACACCCCTCAAAATATCCACATATATACACATATATACACACCTATCTTTATATCGTATATATTTACATATATACACATCTATATTTATACCGATATATAATTTTTACTTTCTTGTTCTTTCCTCTTTTTCTTTCCTCCTTCCACATGATCATGTTTGCCCATCATTCACCTCTTAGTCATTCCTCTCGAATGAGGGCAATGAATGTACAAATGTGCTTTACACAATTGATGTATGTATGGATTGTGACGAGTTGTATGAGCCCCTAATAAAACGACTAAAAAACAGAGAAGAATGCAATCCTTTAATTTCAGATGCAAAAACAAGACCTGCAGACAGAAGACAATAATCGTACAAACCAGCACACCAGGGCCCGCTTGCTTGGTTGAAGAGAGCATCCACAGAGGAGGGCTGCCCTGTTTAGAGTTGCACCTGCACTAATGGCAGCCTGTGTGGGGAGGGAGAAGGCAGAGGAGACGGGTCGCCCGCCCAGGGCTGATCTTACAAGGGGAGCGATGGAAGCTGCCTTCAGCATGGAGTTGGGGACACAGTGAAACTCCTCAGTCTTATTTTCTGACACTTGTTCGGAATCGCAGTCTTAGTTCAGGCCTCCGAGTCAGAAAGGACACAGACTTCCAGAAGCGCTCACCAGCTCACCACGCTGGGACCCTAGCACCATGCCCTGAATAGGGTTTCTTTTGAAGAGCTGCCAGTCTCCTCCAGAGTCTCTGCAGTGAAAAGGAGGGTGGGGACCGCAGAAATGAGGGGAGCGGGCACTTAGAAGTGGGGCGGCTTACTAGAAGTGCGGTAAAGAGTCCAGCCCGAGTGCCAGTCACTTCAAAGCCGAGCTGTGATTGAGCTGATGATGCCTTGGAAGTTTCTAGGTGGGGCGGGGCGTACTTTCCCGGGTCACCCTGGGGCGAAGGACGGCGCCCTAAACTCGACCTGCGGGGGGAGGGGGAGGCCACCTGAGCCAGCCAGCCCAGCGGGAAGCTGGACAGAAGCGACAGAAGGGTGAGAGGGCCGGACCCCCATTCCACCCTGTCTGAGCTGGCAGTCAGCGGTTCCTGCGGTGGCTCCCCAGCTCCGCTTGGCAGCCCGGAGGGCGCCCAAGATCGGGGTGCAGCGCTCGGCGGGCGGGAGCATGGCTGTGTCGCGCGCTGGGCTTCTCTGCCTCCTGGTGACCGGGCCCCTGCTCTCGGAGGCCGCCCAAATCCTGACCTTGTCTTTACTGGGTGAGTGCTGAGTCCCGGGGACCCTGAGCCCGGAGCCCCACAAGCCTGCGCAAGGATGCAGGGACCCAGCTCCCTGCTGGGCAGGTGGCC